GATTACAAACACTCATACCAAGTTTCATCAAAATCTGTCATGAATTGCACTCCTAGAGTGTTTACGAGCGTTTCAAGAACAAGGGCAATAACTCATAGTAAATATTTTTCTATTCGTCTGATTTTCAATAGGGTTCACATGACCTCAAAATGGCGACGTCCAGAAGAAAATGTAAAATTGCGTTATTGAAAAATATCTCCCTTTATTGGAAGTCTAAAGATTTTAAGTTTATATTGATGTTGGCACAGAATACACTACAGTCACACGAGGTCGGGCAAAAGGAGGTAAATTTACCAGTTGTTTCCAGGGCTTGTGCTATTTCTTGCATTGCAGCGTACTTCTTGTTCCTATCTGAATAGTCAGGCGAAGAAATCATAAACAAACAGGCAGATTGCGACCACATATCTACTAAAATCTGCTCCTTCTCCACAGTCGAAAATTTTGTGTTGGTGAATCACTGGACGTCGCCAATTTGAGTGTCATGTGGTCTGGCTTTGATCGCTGATTGGTCTTTCGTCGATGAATGTTCAGCGCTAATGTTCGTCGTTAACACAGACGGAGAACAAAGAATTGTTCAGGAGGCGAACAATTTTAAAAAATCAAACATGTTTGATTTCAAGAACAATTCTCACGAACATTTTTGTCCGTGTTTCTGTAATCCGCAGACGGTGATAAAAATGATCGAAACCAAATTTTTACAATTGTTTGCTTAAAATGTTCCTTGTCTGCGTTGGGCTTTAGACACTGAAAGCTCTGAACAAATTTGTCTGTTGTAAAAAACACCATATCCAGTTTCTGCATTTGTTATTTTGTGTGATAGTTTTGATACACCTACATGTCAGTTTTCTTCATGTAGAACTACCACAATATTTTTTAATTGAAAGATTATGTAGGAAAGTGTAATGGGAATTTGTATCAGTATATCATTTGTCAAGAGTTAATTGCAGCAAGACAGGGTGGAAAATTGACCTGGTTCTACAATAATACTTTTTATTACTCCCACAGTATTTTCTGATAACTGACAGTGGAATCTAGACATTCATGTCTCACTCATTCAGATTCTTTCCAACCAAGATCATTAATACATTTTCTCATTGCTTGAACTTATCTTATCTTCAGTGGAAATCTGTCTCAATAGGCTAGAGTGTATTAAAGAAAAAAGTCTTTGAAATACATGCAGTTTTACTGTAGTATAAGTTTCCTACAGCACTTTAATTTCATCAGTTTCGTTAAAATTTTGGTCAACAAAAATCTTCATTAACGTGTGATATGATCCCTAATAAAATTATAGACAAAGATTGAGCAATAGGGAGCTTTTATTCCAAACAATAATTAGCAACTGAAAATGAACAGAGAAACGATGGTCCCATGACATGGGACAATAATGTATAAAGCAAAATTTAATATTTACAATACTTTATAAATACCACAATAGAACTGGAAACGAAAACCCAGGGAAAGGATTTATCTAGAGATAATAATATTTGTTATGGTGTTAAATAGAAAATATAAGGTAAAACGCCTGCAGTCATACAATTTTTTACTGTGTTAATACTACAAGAATCAATACTGGAGACAATCAACATGTATAGAATTAGTACCATCATCCACTTCCTGTTTATGTAGAACTCTTCTATCATTAGTGTTCACAAGCACTCATTTTCCATTTCTCTCTATAGTTTCAGGGGAAAATATTTTAGTGTTACCTTCACAATGAATGCACATCACTATAGTCCACTTCTGTAGAAAGTTGTCAAGTTTGCCTGATGGCAATCTTATTTGATTTTCACCATGACACAGAATCTGACATTTCTTTTAATAATAAGTATGTTTAAAGGGGCAGTAGGCAAACATTGTAAAGTTATACCTGAAAATGTTTACATTTATGCATCTACTTGATCAACATGAATTTGTTTTACAAGGGATAATTCAAACTGGAGTGTACTGTAAGTAAGCGGCTTATTGGGCATCGTAAAGACTCAATATTTTTACTTGAAACCTTTTAAGAGACATTGTTCTCTACAATTTGGCGTATAGTTTCTTAGCTAAAGAAATTTACCCTTTTTCTGTTTTTTATATATCTTTTAATCCAAAAATTACACATGTTGGTCCTTGTAAAACTGTAAGAACAGGTTTATCAGGCAGTAACCCTAATCCACTTGGATCAGTATCTTAATCAGATTTTTTAATTGAAATCAATTGGGCTGGTCAATAAAGTCTTTGTCTATCTCTTGAGAGTAATTTTGGTATAGTTCAGAATACAAAATATATAATGAGTGACCACACTAACTCCTTTCAAAACATTGGATAGCACATGTCTTTTGGAGGAGTCCATTACCATACCACTTTTACTCACATTTCCCCACATTTGGGATGAGATTTTGATTAATGGAACTGTCATGCTTGTACAGGTATTTATAAACAGCATAAGAGCATACTGAACCACTTCAGCATGCCTTCTGTAATGTGACATTTTATTCAATTTGTGCATATATATATATATGTGCAAGCATGAACATATACTACAATGAATTTGGGATTAAGGATTAGAATGAGACTTCATGTCTAGTAACCTAACTATTAATTGAAGAATATAAATCCCTCTCATCTCTACCAATACTACAGAGCGATTGTCTTCTACGAGGAAAGACACTTTTAACACTCTTAAAATCAATCAATAATCCTTCTAGCCAGGACAAAATATTTCTAATTTCTCAATGAAATTTCCCAGCCACACTAATCAAAAGTTTGAGTGCTCACTTCTATAAGGATAAAAGCTAAGTATTTCTTAGGTCCAATGTCCACAATTACATTAAACAATATGTAAGTGAATTGTCTAGACCATTTTATTCCCTACATTAACATTTAATATTAACTGTATGACATAGGTCCCAGCAATGTCAGAAGAGAACTTTGTTTACCCTATTAGATAAGAGCCAGTTGATTACAAAAATTGTAAGACACAAATCTAAATTCTAAATAAATTATTCTAAAACCTTTACTTTTTTTTCTCAGTGTGCTGATGTTAAAATATGAAAGCTTACAGATATGCAATGAACAACAACACAGGCATATGACAAAGAAATAATCTAATTCTTTCTAAAAGTCTTATGAAGAAGCTCATAGCCTACTATACCAGAACAGGTTTGATTTAGAAATATATCCGGTATGAAATGATGAAAAATGATGGCCAAAACAAAAGTTCCTACCTTTTAAGAACTTTGATTTCATTGTCTAGTGATTCCTCCTTGCCTCGTAATCCTTGTCTATCTATGCATTTAACAGCTACATATTTACCACGGTTTAATTTCTCTTCTGCTAAAACTACTTCTGAAAATGCACCCCTGAAAAACAAATTTATTGCCATTTGAGACATGAGACAAGATTTGGGTAACTGCATATAACTTATCACATATCAGTTCCCTTTTTACTACAAGGACCATTTTAAAATCATAAAATATCATCAATAAACAAAAATAATTGAAGATGAATTGGTAAAATTAAAAAAAATTATGAAAAGCTCAGAGGTATAATATGTTGAAAGGCAGCACCTAAATTAAGTAAAGCATCTCAATAGTAGCAAACTGCCAAAATTCTAACATCAGCTTTCATTTTGGAATGGTTGAAAGATACGATTTACAAGGATAACAATTTGGGTCTGATTAGGATTCTGTCCACCTCTTGGCATTGATCTTTTCTGGATTACCCATACAAAGATGGGTTGACAGGAACAATGAGGAAAGAAAAGAAATTAACATGTAAGACAAGCAAATGACGTTAGTTTTAACTGTACACAACATTCCTTGAATGATACAAGTCTAATAAGAATTGAAATAAATCTTAAATAAGTACATTGAAGTGTGTTGCTAGGGAGGCATGGCATGCCAACTTTGTAAGTGTGTTTATCAATGAAATAAATAATGTTCACAAGTATACATTTTGGTAATACAGTATTTGTAGAATTCAGCTGAGTGGAAGTTTGAATTTTTCTTTCTGTGTCAAATTTATCTGGATTTAATTAAACAGATTTTATTGAGTGAAAGGAAAGAAGAGAATGTTTGAAAATTATATTATAGAATACATGAAACCTACATATCGTTGTTTTAAAAAACAAAGAAAACATGTTCAGCTCATGTTAGAGTATTGATTTCTAAGTTGATAATTTCACCACTAACTACATTTTACAATTCAATAGAAGTTCAATTTATCCAAGGACAGGTCGAGTGAGAATTCTTTCTATTTTCATTATCAATACTTGAGTTCAGAATATCAGACAATTCCCATAGAGTAGATGGCACATTATACACATACAATGGTGTACTTTAACCTTTGATGTCAATATTCTTTGAGATGACAACAACAGAGTTGTTGACACATAAGTTAGCCATCTTTATACCAAAAATTCAAAATACAAAGGTCACGTGGACTGAAAATGATTAGCTTAAAGGCAGTCTCGCATAATATCTCCCATTATCCGACATTTCATTAACCACTTGTTTCAATTGTGACATTGCCACGTCATGACAAAAGCCAAACACATTCTCATCTTCTTTAAGCTTTGTTTATGTCGGAAATCATTAGAAATATATAACTTATAAAACAATGAACTGACAAAATCATCAAGAATCATGTTTCCATTATTTTCTTTTATTGAAATATTCCAGCAAATAATGTAAGAATAGAAAACAAGGTAAATCTATCTTTTATACTTCATTCCTATTGTATATTTCAAGCTGACAGAATGAGTGGGTGATTTTTTTTCTCACTCAAGGTATTGTGAAATTGTTTACAAGCCTACCTAGTCTGTTTAATATCATTATAAACCTACCATAGTTTATATTATAAGGTATGTTGAAATGTCTGTGGAAAAATGGATTCTGCTATAAAGAATTATAAATAAAAAGATAGTGGAGCACAGCCATATATGCCCACGGCATGCAGATGGTAAAAACGAAACATCCATTTCAAGTTTCATCAAAATTGGTTGAAAACTAATAGTATATTCAAGATTTTGGGGCAAGGGCAATAACTCTGCATCTAGCGGTCGAAAATAGCTCAAATTCGAACTTTTCATGAATATGTATGCACATACCGAATTTTATTGATTCCTTCATTCACTCTAGTTTTTAGAGTGTTTACGAGCAATTGATGTTGATAGAAGTACTTACTGTATAGAGGTTACAGGGCGATAACTCTTCAAAACTGACGTAAGAGGCCTAAATCTTGAAAAAGCCTTAAATTTAATCAGAAGTATGCTAAACTTTCTCAAACCTTTCGATTTAGGTCCATTAACATCTATTTTAAGTTTCATCAAAATCGGTTGAAAACTAAGAGAGTAATAGCATATTCAAGATTTTGGGGCAAGGGTAATAACTCTGCTTCTAACGGTCGAAAATAGCTTAAATTCGAACTTGATCTTCGTTTTATGAATATGTATACACATACCGAATCTCATTTGATTCCATCAAAAAATCTAGTTTTTAGAGCGTTTACAAGCAAATGTTGGCGGATGGACGGGGGTGCCGACAATATACGTCCACACAGAGAGATGCGGGCGTATAAAAATTATTAATAAGAAAAAGACAAATTCATAGAACAAGATGAGAAATTTTAAGCATACTAATGGTTGCACACAAATGTTTAGGATTTTAAGACAGAGGAGAATGGAAAAGGGGTGAACAGGGGTTGCAGATACTTTTAAATGCTTCTCATAAAAGTCTATGCCATTGAGAAATGTCTAACTATGATTCACTGAATGGACGCAAATTCCAACTGCTTAGAAAACAAGGTATAATCAGATTTACTTCAAAAGCAACTTAATTCTGAGAGCACACGAATGGTACTTGTCGCAGATTTTTGTTGCAGACTAGAGTCTTGTCAAGAGTTTCATTGATCGACTGAAGGCATACCAGGAGACAAAAAATCTCAAGATGGTGATTTTCAGCTATGCAAATGATCATGCAATTGTGAAAATGAATCCAATGGATACTATTTCTGTGGGGTCTTGTCTCGTCATAAGTAGGATCAAATGAAGAAAAATATCGAGCAGCAAGTGAAAAACTTGTTTGACATTCAAAATCCTGTCAGAAACGTGACAATCTTGAGATTTTACCCAAGACAAGCGCCGACGACAAATTCGTGTGCCTGCAGCATAAGGTGTATAATCATAGCATGTAAAAATCATTTTCTATCTTAAAGTGATATTACGTCTTAGAATACACTCATCCTGTGGCTAATATTTGTGTTTAATAGTGACCATTGGTTAAATAAGTTTGAAAAAGCGACAATAAATCTACAATCAAAATTTTTTTAAAAAGTGAGCAAGCGACAAGTCCGTTCAGTTTGAGAAAAAAAGAGTCTGGGTAATCAACGCCAAAACAGGAAACAATCATCTTCCGGTGTATACAAATAAACTTTGCTAATGATTAATATTCGTTGAAAATTGTGTTAGTGGTGGAGTATTCATTCTAAATTATATGAATTGCTTTTTCGCAGAGAGACGCTTAATCTCCTACGAGGCATTATCATTCCGTCTTCAAAATATGTCTGACAATGTCGAGGTCAATTCAAGAGTAGAGGTCAAGGACGCGGGAAACCCCACTTGAGAGTTACTTCCCCTTGAAAATTACACCGGATTTCCTAGACTCACGATTTGAAAATCGCTTAATGGATGTATTAAGCGTTTTATAATTAATTACTTGATTTTGTGGATATATCGGATTATAGAGGGATTATATAGATGTATAGTTAAGACACCAGGTAAGTCCACTGATGGATATATACTGTTATTGGCCAAATTTGAGTAAAATTTAAATTTTATGTTCATCCTAGGATGTAGTATTCCTTTAAATTAAGGGAAACATACTTCTGTTTTATTAAGATTAAGATATTTCTTTATACCAATTTTCATAAAAAAATACTCAATATATATCAAAGCTCAATTCTTTTGGAGCTATTTTGATTTTACATGTTATTTTTTTTCTTTTTGATGACAATGAACACATTATAATTAGAGACTATTCATGGTATTGCGAAACATGATGTAATGTGTCTTAGTTTAGGGTCTTCACTGGTTACAATTGAAACCATACATAGTGATTAAAGGATTATCGTGACAAGTGTTGCTCGATCTCTTTGAAATGAAGCGTTTCCGCAAGCCGAATGATTTTTATTGTTCATTGATTAACCTACGACCGGTAATCCCTTAATCAACTAATTTAATTGTCAGAAAGAGTTAAGTGACTTGATGACTGTCGTTATTTTTTTGGACCTATACTTGATGTCCGATAGAGGCTAATTGAAATCGGACATTTTGGCAGAACAATCGGTCATGTCCGGCATGTATGGGTAAATCATGTTCCCCGGTCTTCAGCCTTTACAGGATTCATATCCAAGCACATAGGATTGCCAACAATGTACAGTTGTAACTTTAAAAGGTGATAAGCTTCTAGATTTTTTTATGGTCAAATGCTGCTTATTAGAGATAGAAAATCTAGGCTAAGCCTAATCTAATCTACCCACATATAAATAAGCAATTATGTAGCTGAAAATCTACTGTATTGCCTGTTGTTTATGAAAAATCTCAATTATAAAATAAGTCTTTCTTGATGTAAATCTTGGATTTAGTTATGCTCTAAAATCAAAATTAAATGCTTTATATCTCGCTTACACGGTATCATGCTTTTTGATTGGATAACAACAGTCATGTGCATTTGGTTTATATCTGTGTAAACGAAATGAAAATATAAGCTACGCCCCTTAACGGACTACTTTTATAATTGAGTTTGATTGATGTGGCCACTACACAGCGTCAATGTTGTTCCTTCGAACGTCAACAGAGCCGAAATCGACACATCACTGAATGATAAAGGTATTTTCTAAATTCCCTCAAATGTGCACACTCCAAATTCCAACAATATCAATAAGTCTGGACTTATTTAAACCCGTCTTTCAATAATTGAACTTGCAATTTGGCCGCTCCGTTAACTTTCATGTAGTAGACAGGAGACTATAAATAGGCGACCTACTTATTTTTGATTGGCTGATCCTATGACGTTAGTATCAGTTCATTAACGTTATGTTAAAATGTTATATATTTTTGCGCCAATCTAGTGCCTTAAGTTGTTGTTATATTATATAAATATTTAAACACTTATTCGAGTTGATTTAATTATAAGGAATGACCTGAAAATTTTTTCAGTTTATCGATGTATAAAAAACCGCTATGCAGATTTATACAGTGTACACAGGTTTTTTCTGTTTATACATCAATAAACTGAAAAAATGTTCAGGTCATTCCTCAAATAAATTTATGGTTATTTTTGTCTCCTCCTACTATGCAGGTATGTCAGTGACAGGAACTACATG